GTTTGTGTTTCCTTGTTCATTTTCTGTTTAGTTGATCTATCCATAGTTGTGAGTGGGGTATTAAAGTCTCCTACTATTATTGTGTTACTATTAATTTCCTCTTTCATACTCGTTAGCGTTTGCCTTACATATTGCGGTGCTCCTATGTTGGGTGCATATATATTTATAATTGTTATATCTTCTTCTTGGATTGATCCTTTGATCATTATGTAGTGTCCTTCTTTGTCTCTTTTCACAGCCTTATGTTAAAGTCTATTTCATCTGATATGAGTATTGCTACTCCTGCTTTCTTTTGGTCTCTATTTGCATGGAATGTCTTTTCCCAGCCCTTCATTTTCAGTCTGTATGTGTCCCTTGTTTTGAGGTGGGTCTCTTGTAGACAACATATATACGGTTCTTGTTTTTGTATCCATTCAGCCAGTCTTTGTCTATTGTTGGGGCATTCAACTAATTTACATTTAAGGTAACTATTGTTAAGTATGATCACCGACTCGATGGGCATAAGTTTGAGTAAATTCCAGGAATTGTTGATGGACAGGGAAGCCTGGCGTGCTGCGATTCATGGGGTCGCAAAGAGTCAGACACAGCTGAGCGACTGAACTGAAGTGAACTGAACTGATGATCCCATTTCCATTTACTTTGTTGTTTTGGGTTCGATTTTATACACCCTTTCTGTGTTTCCTCTCTAGCGAAGATCCTTTAGCACTTGTTGAAGAGCTGGTTTGGTGGTGCTGAATTCTCTCAGCTTTTGCTTGTCTTAAAGCTTTTGATTTGTCCTTCATATTTGAATGAGATCCTTGCTGGGTACAGTAATCTGGGTTGTAGGTTTTTCTTTTTCATCACTTTAAGTATGTCCTGCCATTCCCTTCTGGCCTGAAGAGTTTCTATTGAAAAATCAGCTGTTATCCTTATGGGAATCCCCTTGTGTGTTATTTGTTGTTTTTCCCTTGCTGCTTTTAATATTTGTTCTTTGTGTTTTATCTTTGTTAACTTGATTAATATGTGTCTTGGGGTGTTTCGCCTTGGGTTTATCTTGTTTGGGACTCTCTGAGTTTCTTGGACTTGTGTGACTGTTTCCTTCCCCATTTTAGGGAAGTTTTCAACTATTATCTCCTCAAGTATTTTCTCATGGCCTTGCTTTTTGTCTTCTTCTTCAGACTCCTATGATTTAAATGTTGGGGCCTTTGACATTGTCTCAGAGGTCTCTGAGGTTGTCCTCTTTTAATTCTTTTTTTTTTTTTCCTCTCTGCCTCATTTATTTCTACCATTCTATCTTCTACCTCACTTATCCTATCTTCTGCTTCCATTATTCAACTGTTGGTTCCCTCCAGAGTGTTTTTTATCTCATTTATTGCATTATTCATTATAGACTGACTCTTTTTTATTTCTTCTAGGTCCTTGTTAAATATTTCTTGCATCTTCTCAATCCTTGTCTCCAGGCTATTTCTCTGTAACTACATTTTGTTTTCAAGATTTTGGATAGTTTTACTATCATTATTCTGAATTCTTTTTCAGGTAGACTCCCTATCTTCTCCTCTTTGGTTTGGTTTGGTGGGCATTTATCATGTTCCTTTACCTGCTGAGTATTTCTCTGTCTTTTCATCTTGTTTAGATTGCTGTGTTTGGGATGGCC